GAAATAATTACACGGAAACTGTATTCTTTCAAACACTGCCTGGCCCGGCTAGGTCCAGTTTCTTATTGGCTCTTACATATTGTTCTAACCCATTTCTAATATTCTGTGTAGCCCATGAGTTGGCTTACCAGAGAGGATCTTAACCTGCGTCTGTCTGGAGTAGGAGCATCATGGCGACTCACTCACTCAGCTTCTTTTTCCCAGCATTTTTCTCTGTCTACTCCGCCTACCTAATTTTCTGTCCTATGAGGGCCGAGGCAGTTTCTTTATTATTAACCAATAAAATCAACAGATAAGACACAAGACCCACCTCCATCAGGGTCCAGCTCTCAGTTGACATGGAAAGTGGAATGAAGGCCATTTATGATCCCCGGATTGTGTCATTTTCCAAGGGCAGCTGAAATTTCCTAATTCAACTCTCCACACAAAACCTGTGTGCTGGGTGCACGCATTGCTGCTGGCAAACCCCGCAGCAGGATCACATCCCGTGAAGCTCGTTCAGGCATTCATCATCATTAGCAAGTGGTTTGGAAGCCAGGTGTGGTGGCACATGCATGTAATCCCAGAACTCCAGGAACGAAGGCAGAGGGATTGCCATAGCCGTGAGCAGGCCTGTCTCAAGAACGAGCAACAAAGTCAATGGCTTTGACTGAGACAGAGGAAGTAGGACCTTTGGTCTAAAGGCCTTCCTTGCTGGCCCAGGCCTTGTTTCTTCCTGCTTCTCCCAGCCTGCCAGCCTGGGACTGGCCTCCTTCCTGTTTTCTCCTGCTGCCTTTTCTCCTGGACTGGCCAGGCCATCGTGGGGGCTCTCCTGCACCTGTCCTGGGCTCTTGCAGGACTCAGGGAGCCCCTCAACTGCCTCTCTCTGCTTTTGTGGTTGTTTCATTTTCTCCCCTAAGGTTAGTTGGTTTGTTGCATTTAAAATTATGTTCAAGTGTATGTGTGTGTATGTATGTGTGCGTGTGTGCACGCACATTCGTGCACGTTGACCAGTGTATATATGCATGCGAATTCAGGTGCCCACAGAGGCATCAGATTCCCCTGAAGATGGGGTTGCAGGTAGTTGTGAGCCACCTGACATGGGAACTCAGAACTCAACTCAGGTCCTTTGCAAGAACAGTGTGTACTCTTAGCCACTAATCTCTCCAGAGTTTTTTGTTTGTTTGTTTTAGACAGGGTCTCACTATGTAGTCCAGGCTAACCTCAAATTTGGGATTATAGGCATGTACTATTATGCCCAAGTGGCTTGCTTTTTTAAAAAAATAATTTCTCATTGTGATGTGCATATGCACATGGAGACCAAGGACTCACGCTGGGAATCATCACCCTTCCGCCTCACTGAGACAGGGTCTCTCAATCAAACCTAGAGCTTGCTGATGGTCCACCTCACTCACTGAGGTAGGGTCTCTCAATCAAACCTAGACATTGCTGATGTGGCTAGTCTTGCTGGCCAGTCACTCTGGAGATAATCCCTGCCCTTGCCTTCTGAGGTTGGAATTACCAGTGGGCCACCACATTTACGTGGGTTTCTGGGGATTCAAACTCTGGTCCTCGCATTTGGATGGCATGTGCTTTAACTGCTGAGCTGACCTCTCTCCCTAACTCCCTCCCTCTTTTTTAGAGACAAGGTCTCACTACATTTACAGCTCCGGACCCTAGCTGGCCTGGAAGATACTGTGCAGAACATTTAGGACAAACCCTCCGCCTCTGGAGTGTGGGGACCACAGGTGGCCTTCACCACACCAGCCTGGCTCTTCCCAGCTGTGGCCCCCACTCTTAAGACTGCTAGATCCCCCACTCACCAGAGGAGATCATCAGGCAGCCCCCGTACCCAGCTCCTCCCATCCTGTGCCTCTCATCTCACCTCAGCTAGAATAGATGGCTTCCTTCCAGGAGCCTCTCAACCTCTGCACCAGTCACCCACCCAGACTCTCTCTCTCTCTCTCTCTCTCTCTCTCTCTCTCTCTCTCTCTCTCTCTCTCTCTCTCTCTCTCCCTCTCCCCACACCCCACCCCCCCCCCCCCACCCCCCCCCCCACACACACACCCCCCCACTCTCTCCCCCCCCCCCCCCCCCACTCCATCCCTCCCCCCCCCGACCCTCTCACCCTCCCCCCCCCTCACCCCCCCCCACTCTCTCTCTCTCTCTCTCTCTCTCTCTCTCTCTCTCTCTCTCTCTCTCTCTCCCTATCAGCATACCAAAGCCTCCCTACCCAACACAACACAGGACACAAACATGCCGCCAGTCTCTGCCAGCTCCTTCCAATCCCTCCTCCTCTGTTGCGGCTTTTCATGGCACAGCAGTTTACTTGCATGAATCATGGTCTGAATTTCACCCTTAGTGCCTCGAACAACAGACAGAACCCAACATTGTCCCTCAAAATTATCTTTGCTGGACGCAGTGATGTATGTCTGAGACAGAAGGATGGCTGAGCTTAGGAGCTTGGGAGCTTGAAGCTATGCCGCAGAATATAGTGAGACCTTATGTCCAAAACAAAACAAAGAATTAGACTCTTCCTCGCCACCATGTACCTCTCAACCTCTGGACCCAGCCACTGCCCCCACAGCCTGGCGACACAACATTCAGTGCCTACTAATGACTTTTAGAGTGTCACACCCGACAGACTGCTCTTTAGACCTTTATCCGTGTGACTCAGGCTGCTCTGGCAGAGCTGACTCTGCCCTCCTGGGACGCCATCTCTCCCTTTCTTCCATTTCTGGCTCTGGCTGAGATTCCTAACACCCACCAGGAGTCCTCACAGGTTCAGCCCTGTGCCCCTGCTGGTGAAGTCATCCACTGATGGGGTTAGTTCCAGCTCTCATATCCACAGTCCCATAAACAAAGGTGTACGGGGAAATGCAACGTCAGATATGCAGTTGAATACTTTGTAGTAGCCACATTAACAAGATAAAAAAAACCCAGGTGAGGCCGGGCGTTGGCGGCGCACGCCTTTAATCCCAGCACTTGGGAAGCAGAGGCAGGCGGATCTCTGTGAGTTCGAGACCAGCCTGGTCTACAGAGTTAGTGCCAGGACAGGCTCCAAAGCCACAGAGAAACCCTGTCTCAAAAAACCAAAAAAAAAAGAACCAGGTGAAAATGTTTTGAATCACCATGGTGGTTAACCCACGTATTCCAGACTTCAGGTCAATGTGTAGTCAGTGGGAAACTGCTTGCTTAAGTGGTCCTCATTTCCGATCCTAAGGATGTGAAGTCTGGAGCGTGCTTTAGTTTTCACTATGGCAGATCTCAGTCTGCAGTAGCCACACTCAAGCACGTAACAGCCATACATGGTCAGTGACTCCCATTTTAGAGGACACATATGAAGAGACTGATTGCCAGCAGCCTGATAGTAGGGATCTCTTCACGACTCATGTCCAAAGACATGAACATCCCTAAGGAAGCGCCATCTGAGTGTAAGTGCGTTTTTACTTTTAGAAGTTTATTATGAACTGGAAAATGGTGGTGCACGCCTTTACCCCAGCACTCGGGAGGCAGAGGCAGGCAGATCTCTGAGTTTAAGGCCAGCCTGGTCTACAAGAGCGAGTTCCAGGACAGCTAGGGCTACCCAGAGAGAGACCTTGTCTTGAAAAGAATCAAAAAAAGTTTATTATACATTATTTGTTTATTTGTGTGTGTGTGTGTGTGTATACATGTCCATATTGACGGTAACACATTTTCCTGCTGAGCCATTCTTGCTGGTCCCTTAAATGTTATGTAATGTAGGATCAGGTATGACAAGCAGAGGAGTTAGTTTTGTTTTTTTTGTTTTTTTTTTTTTTTTTTGGTTTTTTGAGACATGGTTTCTCTGTAGCTTTGGAGCCTGTCCTGGAACTAGCTCTGTAGTCCAGGCTGGTCTCGAACTCACAGAGATCCACCTGCCTCTGCCTCTGCCTCCCGAGTGCTGGGATTAAAGGTGTGCGCCACCACCGCCCGGCTAGAGGAGTTAGTTTTGTTTTTGTTTTTTTCTTTTTTCTTTTTTCTTTTTTTTTTTGGACAGTATCTGTCTATGTAGCCCTGGCTGTCCTGGAACTCACTCTATACGTCAGGCTGGCCTCAAACTCAGAGATCTGCCTGCTTCTGCTTCCCGGTTGCTGGGTTTAAAGTTGTGCACCACCACTACCTGAGGATTTAGTATTTCTAAAAATACAACGGCATTCATGGCAGCAAGGGTTGGCACAGATGGCTTCGTAGATTCATGCTTGGCTCATCATGTCACAGGTAACATGACCCTGAATAGGTCATCCAGTTTCAGATAGCCCATCGTCAACTGGGGAGAATCATAGTTCTTTCAGATGGGCTATTAGGACCTCCTTAGGCAAGCCTGTAGGATGAGGACACCAGCCGTCCTCCGTGAGGCCCCACTTCAAACTATCTGACCGTACCATCCCCGTATCTTCCCGTACCATCCCGTACCTTCCCGTACCTTCCCAAACCATCCCTATCACCCAGCTCTCATTGACTCAGGTCTGAGAGGCCTCACTAGGGACCAAGGAGGAAAGTTTATAAGGAAAGACTGTAGAGAGAAGGCATGGTCTTTATAAATGATGCTGGGGAGGCCCAGGGATGAGGGCTTGGGAGTGGGGTGGTCAGGAGGGGAAACTGAGGTTTGAGTCTTCCTCTGATGGGGGATGCTGGGCTGGCGGCTCCCTCAGAAGCCTTCCCTCACAGGTGTTTGGCCTTGGTTCCGTGGCTCATATGGTTCTAGGAGAACAAAAGATGGGGAGCTTTCTTGGTGTCAACTTGGGTTTTGGCTTCGGAGTCACCATGGGCGTGCACGTGGGAGGTGGCATCTCCGGTGAGTGAGCCCCTATCTGGTCTTACAGGCAAGAGCAAATCTTTCTGGTGGGTTGTTTCTGCCCCTCCAGGAATCCCCTTCTCTGGCACAGTTAGTGCTGCCCCTGGGAACCCCTGGGAACCCCTGCCTTCCCCAAACTCTTCCTGGGACCCTTTGACTCACCATTTTTACTAGCTGGGTTATCTTAGGCAAAGGAGTCATTTGCCTTCTCTTGCCTTATGGTAAAGCTGGAGATGATGGCCCCAGCTGTGCATGGCCTTTTAAGGGTTAAACGAGGGAGTTCTTGTCACAAAGGGACACACCACACCGTAGCCTTTCTTTTTTACTGTTGCAAATGCTGTCGTGGTTCATTTTGTTGCTTGTTTCTTTTAACCCAGCAGCTCATCCAGCTCTTTCTCATGACAGGAGCTCATATGAATGCAGCCGTGACCTTCGCCAACTGTGCACTAGGCCGGATGCCCTGGAGGAAGTTCCCCATATATGTGCTGGGCCAGTTCCTGGGCTCCTTCTTAGCTGCGGCCACCACCTACTTACTATTCTACGGTGAGTGTTCTTCCTGGGTGGTCTGTCTCCAGACTCTTGTTCTGAAAGATGGCAAGATTCCATCCTGGTATCCTCTCCTGCAAGAATAAGAACAAACAAAACACAGGAAACCTAGCAGATTTAAGCTGTTGAAGTATTCCCAGCCGCTTACCCCCACAACCTCCTTTCCGGAACCCCCGCGGGGACTAACTCAACCGTTGTCATCTCCACAGGTGCCATTGACCACTTTGCGGGCGGAGACCTGTTGGTGACTGGTTCCCTGGCCACGGCCAACATTTTTGCCACCTATCTTCCTGAACACATGACCTTGTGGCAGGGCTTCCTGGACGAGGTCAGTGATCAGGACAGAAAGAGTTCTGGATGGGATTGTACCAAGACGTGTCTCTGCCACTACAGATTTGGGGTCCTGCCTGAGCACCTGGGACGGGGCCACGCCTTCAGCGGGTTGCCGCGGCGTTTACTCCCCAGGTGTTCTTGACCGCGTTGCTCCAGCTGGGTCTCTTTGCCATCACCGACAAGCAGAACAATCCGGCGCTTCAAGGGACTGAGGCCCTGGTGATAGGCATCCTTGTTTGCATCATTGGAGTGTCCCTGGGCATGAACTCGGGGTATGCCATCAACCCGTCCCGTGACCTGCCTCCCCGCTTCTTCACTTTCATTGCTGGCTGGGGTAAACAAGTGTTCAGGTACTGCCCCTGCCAAACCCCATTCCTGTCAGCTTTCGGGGGGGGGGGGTGTGTCCCTGCATGCAGAGACTGTGAGATGAGCAGTTAGGGCGGCTCAGGAGAGTCTCATGAAGTCTCCAGGCAGTCTGGGATCAGGAGGGGCCCAGACATCTTCAGAAGTGGATCCTGTTGTTGCTGTCAGGCTGAGGGTCCCTTAGGGTTGATGGGATGGCTTCTCTGTTCCCCCTATATTGGTCTGAACTGGACAGAAATGGCACCCCGGGCATCAGTGTCCTCAGCAGGCCTCTCTCTCTTTGCCTGCAGAGCCGGGAACAACTGGTGGTGGGTACCAGTGGTGGCACCCCTCCTGGGCTCCTACGTAGGTGGCATTGTGTACCTGGGCCTAATTCACGCCAGTATACCACGGGAACCTCAGGGTTAGGAGAATGCTGAAGCGGGAGACCAGAAGATAACCGTTTCATCATCCAAGGTTCTCCTCACCCCCATCGCTAGGACCCCAGCTTCCACCCAACCCGTTCCACCCCCAAGTGACTCGGTGCCTGTAGAGCGCTTCTAAGTAGAACTCTCCGTGACCATATCCTTACTGCAATAAAGCACACCTCAAACGCGGTGGCCCTCACTCTCTGGGACCTCCTGTCGCTGGACTCCTGGGCTCTTCTGGGAGCTATTTCAGCATGGAACTTGTCGTGTAGAGCAGTCCGGCCTTGCACTTGTGGCAATCTTCCGGCTTCTCCCTCCTGAGTGTTGGGAATACAGGCATTTACCACCCTGCCTGGAATATTCCAGGGTTATTCTTCCAGGCTCTTTTCTTAATACTGGGGCACAGGACCAAAAGACTCCAATTCTTTCCACTCCAGGAGGGGTGGACCTGGAAGAATGTCTAGGCGGGGCCTCACAGTGGTGTAAAGAATACCCCACAGACTGGTGGACCTTCATGCATTGGTGCATGAGTTGGGGGGATAGTGAGAAAAAGATCAGAGGTAGCAGGTGGTGGGCAGATTTGGGGAATCTTTGGGGGTGCCCTAGGGTGGGACTATAGGGTCTCCTGCTTCTCGCTTTGTCCAGTTTGGAGCAGAGAAGGCAAGGCCAAGAGTTGACATCAGGATTTCAACCCTTTCATTAGAGCCTTTAGTGGTCTTTTTAGCTTTGCACCCTCCCTCCTTGAAAAAGGGTATTGTGTAGCCCAGGCTGGCCTTGAACTCTGAGTAACCAGAACTCAGAGTAGCCATGAACTCTGGATCCTCTGGCCCCCACTTCCTGAGTTCTGGGATTACAGGTGTCCACCACCATACCCAGTTTATATGGGACGCTGGGGACTCAAACCCAGGGCCTTGTGTATGCCAGATAACATCTATCAACTAACAAATCAACAGCTCTCCAGACCCATCTTTTCTAATTAAAGATTTTAATACCACATGAACACTGTGTGTTTGTCTTTCATCTGTGATGTGTGTGTGCATGTATGTGTATGCATTCTTCTTCCTCTTCTTTTTTTCCTTCTCCCCTCCCCCCTTCTCCTTCCTCCTCCTTTAACAGGCTCTTATGGTTACTCTGGTTGACTTGGAACTTCGCTGTCCAGACCAGGCTGGCCTGAAACTCACATAGATCTGCCTGCCTCTGCCTTTTGAGTGCTGGGATTAAAGGCCTGCGCCACCCATGCCTGGCTGAAGTTTTTTTTTTTTTTTAAGATTTTATTTATTTATTATGTATACAGTATTCTACCTGCATGAGTGCCAGGACACCAGATCTCATTACAGATGGTTGTGAGCCACCATGTGGTTGGTTGCTGGGAATTGAACTCAGGACTTTTGGAAGAACAGGCAATGCTCTTAACCGCTGAGCCATCTCTCCAGCCCTGCCTGGCTGAATTTTTTCAAACCCATTTCCAGAATCAGTTTTTATTATCTTCGGAGTGCTTGGTATGGAGTGAAAGCTTTTATGGGGTTGGCCTCTAATTCCCTCCTTCCTGCCACTAGGAGCAACTGATTCCAGAGTTGGGAAGGAAGAAGCAAGGAGACAAATCCTTCGAATGGGCTAAGAGACATGAAAAGGCCTCATGAGCTAGCGGGGAGCAGGCTCAGAGGACCAGCTTCTGGTGGATCAGGCAGGGCTCAGAAGACAGCGCCTTCTTCTGCCGTCACTTTCCACAGCTGCCGAGCCCTGACTGTGTGCAGGCCCTGGGAGTGCGCGATGGATGAGGCTGGGCCTTTGTGTCTGAGGACTGTGTGTGAGTGTGCGTGTGTGAGTGTGTATGAATAGTGTGTGTGTGTGATTGTGTGTGTGACTCTGTGTGTGTGTGTGTGTGTGAGAGAGAGAGAGAGAGAGAGAGAGAGAGAGAGAGAGAGAGAGAGAGGTGAGATTGAGAAAGCTCGCCTGAGCCAGGGGGGGGGGGCGCATGCCTTTAATCCCAGCACTCGGGAGGCAGAGGCAGGTGAGTTTGAGGCCAGCCTAGTCTACAGAGCTAGTTCCGGGACAGACTCCAAAGAAAATTTGTCTCAAAAAAACCAACCAGACAAACAAACAAACAAAAAACAACCCAACAAAACAAAAGACACCACACACACACACACACACACACACAAGATGCTGGAGCTGAAACAGGCCTATAGAGAAAGTCATGAGGCAATCTTTAAAAAAAAAGTGATAATTTCTCTAGGGGGTGTTCAGATCACAAGTTTCACGTAAGATTTTAATGATTCTTTAGTTAATATAAGATAATGTATATGTGTATATGTCATGCATTTAAAAACCAAAAAAGAGCACAGTAACATACTTGTCATACTGGAGGTTCAAGGCCAGCCTGGGAAATTAGAGAGACCCTATTTCAGAGCAAAAGTAAAACTATAGAATAAAAGAGGTGGGGTGAGGAGGCTCATTGGGGAGCGGAGCTTGCTGCCAAGCCTGGCTGTTTGGGTTTGATCCCTTGGTGCCACGCGATAGATGAAAGGAAACAACTCTGACCTACACATGAGTGCTGTGGCAGGTGTGAGCACTTGTATACACGCAGACACGCGCACGCATGCACATACTAGAAGAGACTGGGATGTGGTTAGATCGTGGAGTGCTCAACTCCCAGAATCACAAAAGAAAGAAGCAGAAACTCTGAAGAGTGAATAATGGCAGCATTGGAGTGGAGGGAGGCTAACAGGCAGGAGCCTGCTGGGGTCACTGGGGTCACACAGGGTCAGGAAGGTCACAAGATTGGAGTAGAGGGAGGCTGGCAGGCAGGAGCCTGCACCAGATCGGGAAGGAAAGAGAGAGGCTTGAATGCCTCTGGTGTCGTATGCTAGGAGGCCGAGAGCCAGTGATCCAGAGCTGGAGGTGACCAGGAGAGTGTTGGCAGCTACAGGGCTCCAGACAGTTGTCCTGTCCTCTTGACCCTGGGCAAGCTCCTCATCTCTCCCCAGGAGCCTTGTGAGCACGAACCTAATTTCATTACTGGCATCCTAGAGGAGCAGGTGAGCCGTGCATACAGGCTCCAGTGAGGAGGGTCTCGTTCTCCTGTTTATTGATTCTTCTCCCTCCCCGCTCCATGTAGGTGCCTTCACCTGCTGAACCGCCACACTGGCCCTGAAATAAGCATTTGGGCAGGGTGGTGGTGGCAGCACACTTTTAATCCCAGCACTTGGGAGGCACGGGCTGGCAGATCTCTGTGAGTTCGAGGCCAGCGTGGTCTACAGAGAGAGAGCACCAGGACAGACTCCAAAGCTACACAGAGAAATTCTGTCTCGACAAACAAAGCAAAAAAGCGTTTTGTTATTTTGAGGCTTGGTCTCTTTGTGTAGCTCAGACTGGCCTCTAACTGGTCACCCTCCGGCTGGGATTCCAGGCTGCGGCACCACGGCTAGCTCCTGAACACCTACTAGTTTCTGCTCAGTGCAATCACAGATCAGGCCTTTCTACTCTCAGTAGACAATGGACATCTTACTGTGGCAGACACCACCTAACTTCAAGGCTACAGACACACGCAAGGAAGACCTTGCTGAGAGGAGGAAGTGGGAGGCTGGAGGAGCCATGGTGTTGGAGTACAAAGGTGAAGAGGGGTGGGAAGGAGGTGAGCTCAGAGAAGCTAGGCCTGGGAGACTGAGGAGGGCAGGCCCGGGGAACAGCTGAGGGGAAGGGTTTGGGCAGAGCTGAGGAAGTCTCCAGAGAAGAAAGTCAGGTCTCAGTGGAGGAAGGAAGGAAGCAGCCGGGAAGGGTGGGGTGCGCGTCCAGCACCTGTGGGGCCTCAGTCTTTTGGCTTTGTTCATAACACATTCCTCTGCCATTCTTCCTGTCCCAGCTCACACTGCCTGTGTGCCCCTCCCAACCGTGGGCCTTGTTTTCCCATCTATACAATAAGACTTGGATCGGGTGGTGTTCGGTGGCCTCCCACATGACTTTTCTAGCACCCTGAGGAGCCCTGTTGTGACCCCTCTCCAGCCTTCCCCTCTCCAATTATCTGCTGTTGAGAGGTGCTTGTGAAACAAGAGGAGGCTCAGGACCTGGAGCTCTGGCTTTAACTTTGCCATTAGCAGTTCCCTAGTCCCATGCTGGGCTCGTCTAGGACTCTGGTTTGGTTCTCAGTCCGGTGGTCTAGCTTTGGGGAGCTCCTGATCCTTGTCGGGCCTGCCTTTCCACTCACCCTAGGGACCTTAGCTGCGCTCTGCACTTGGCCTTCGTCAAATGGAGCCTTGCAGCCTGGAAGAGGTAGGACGGCCACCTTGCCCCATCACCCTTCTCAATAGCAGACAAGCGTCCTCTTCTGAAACTGGGGCAGGGTATCGGGATTCTGGGCTTTCCTTTGCCTGCTTGTGAAACAAGAGGAGGCTCGGGACCAGGAGCTCTGGCTTTAACTTTGCCATTAGCAGTTCCCTGCGGTGGAACAGGACTGTGTAGAATCTATAAGAACCATTGCCCCAGGCTGGAGTCCTTCCTGTTCATCATCAGAGATACAGGGGCTGCAGCTACAGGGAGCCAAAGCTCAGGGGTATGGGTTGGAGGAGGAGGCAGGGCAGGGAGAGGCTAAAGACACCCTGGTCCTCTGGCCTGCCTTGTACTTGCATGGTGGGGAGCTCTGGGCTTCTCCGTTTTGCTCCCTTTCTGGACATGATCTCACCATCTTTTAAATACCATTATGTATCACAGTGCCCCAAATTAGCTCCCTAGCCCCGTCCTGTCTCCAACTTCAGACTCCCGTGTTTAGCCACCTACTGGACAGATTTTCATATCCTACACACTCCTGGGGAAATGGCAAATTCAGTCTTTCAGCTGTGCTGACAAAAAAAACCTCTGAAATCATCCCCGACTCTCCTTTCTCTCACATCCCACACCCCACATGCTGCCAACAAATCCTTTAGGTATTCTCTGCACACTGCAGCCAGAACCAGCCGGCCACGTCTTCCCAGCCCAGCAGCCTCGCTGCCTCTCTGGGATGACAGCGATGGGTGACAGCCTCTTTAAGATGCTCGACCTTACAGTCTAATCTTAATACAGGGGTGGGATCCCTTGCTTATTATTTTAGGGTATTTTTGTATGTGGGTGGTATGCACACCTGTGGAAGCCAGAGGCACAGGCTCCGTCTGGAGCTGGAGGTTGTAAGTTTCCTGATTTCAGTGCTGGAGACTAAATTTGGATTGTCTGGAAGAGCAATAGTGCCCTTGGTCTAGGCCTGGATCCTTTGTAAAAATTGTGCTAGATCTTACACGTTTTTTTCTGCCCAAAGTTTTCCATTGCCCAGCAAGGCCTGCCGCTATCAGATTCCCTCTGCTAACTTCTGGGTACCTGCTATTCCCCGGTACTGGCTCCACAGTTTATGGCAGGGTACCACGGCAGGGACCTTGCAGTGGCTGTTCCTGCTGCCTGGAAAAGATATCCTTCCTGTATCTGAGAGGTTTGTTTGCCCCGTGTCTACAGTTTGTATCAACAAACAGAGGGGGAAGAAAACGTGAAAGTATGACATAAAAGAAAAAAATGCGGCCAGGCGGTGGTGGTGGTGGTGCACGCCTTTAATCCTAGCATGCAGAGGCAGAGGCAGGTGGAGCTCTTGAGTTTGAGGCCAGCTTGATCTACAAAGTTGTGAGTTCCAGGACAGCTAGAGCTACAAAGAGAAACTCTGTCTCAAAACAAAACAAAACAACCAAACTAAAAAAACCCACCCCTCCCCGCAAGAAAAAGGCTTGTAACTTTGCAACTGTTACTAAAAGGTTTGAACTACTTCCTGATGCCTGTAAGTACGTCTACCCTCTGGTTTAGGGCTCTACACTGCACTCTAGTGGCTACTGTAGAAAAAGTCCTGTCTTCTGAGAGATTCAGCTTGTTGGAAGATGTGATTTCTCTGCCCACTTGATTGGACCTGTTGGGCCACCCTGCCCCAGCCAGCCCCTAGGGACTCCAAAGAAGCTACCTCTGTTTTGTGGCGAGGACACAGGAGACCTAGTGAGAATCTCAGTTTATGGGTGATCTTGGGAAAGCGAGCTAACATACTCCCTGGGGCTTGGAGGAATAAGATGAATGTGGTGGCTGTGCTCAATCTGGTGGTTAGCTGTTATCCACCGGTAGAAAAGGATCCCGGGAAAGTGTGGATAGCTGGGACACTGAATTGCTAGACTCATGTGCTGGGCACAGCGGAGGAGTGAAAGCTTCTGCCCTTGCCAAGGCCACTTCCTCACCTCCCCTACACTATCTGCTGGGAGTGTCCAGGTCTGGGCTGAAGGCTTCCTTGTTCTGCTTCCCTCTGGCATGTGGAGATGTCCCATCTCCCTGGACCTGTCTACTACTGCCCTCACGATGTCTTGGAGCAGTACATGGGCAAGAGTCATCGCCCTACTGGGAGGATACAGTCTGCACAGCACATGCCCAGGGACCATTGCTCCACCCAAGGGATGCAGAACCGATGCCCACTATAGCAACTGTCTGGGTCAGAGCACGCTAAGGCAGGAACAGGGCTCCCTCAATGTTTGGTCAGGGCTCTCGGCACCCACGTCTGTATACCAGAGAGCACGCTGGACCCCTGGTTAGGATCTGTGAGTTCTCCACGTGGAAGCTGCTAGAGCCACGGCTCATTTTCTTGGGGAGTTAGCCTCCTCCTGGCCAGTACACCAGGCCTCATGTGGCACACACTATGATCCCAGGGAGTCTGTTTCTTCCAGGCTTGGCCTTTGTTAGCTGAGGGGTCAGAGTGGCTCCCATAATTCCTTTGGGGGAGCCCTGGGTTCTAAACTGCTGAGGTGGTGAGGTGAGATGGAACCGGGTGATGGTGGTGCATGCCTTTAATCCCAGCACTCGGGAGCCAGAGGCAGGCGGATCTCTGAATTGGAGGCTAGCCTGGTCTACAGAGCCAGCTCCAGGACAGCCAGGGCTACACAGAAAAACTGTCTCGAGAAACCAGAAAAGCAAAACAAAATAAAAAGTGCAAAAGTTTAATGTGAAGCCCCACAACATCTGTTCCAATGCCTATTCCAGCTGGGTTGCTCACTGAATTCTGCAGACTTTGGATCTGGACAACTTTGGTGTTACATTTTTATTTGCAAGTTCCTTTTAATAATAAATTTTATAATTTTTAAAAATATTTACTCTGGTCTCTATGGAAAACACCTGTGGGCTTCTGATACAGATCATAAACGCAGCCTTGCTACCCTGCTTAGGGCTTGTCCATGGCTTCCATGACCCACAAACACATCCTATCAGCCTCAAGCCCAGGCACAGGCTTTCCTCTCGAGGCCCAGGGCACCAGGCATTCATCGGCAGGAAAGGCCCAACAGGCATCGCTTGCTACTTGGTTAGCAATGTCACGTTCATGGACTCTGTGCATCCGATGCACCAGGCTGCGATCCCTTTAGTCCCCACAACCCAGGTCAAGTGGGAAGAGCCCCTGTCCACCCAGCGGCAGGCCTAGAATCTGGTCAGATTTGTCCCTCCTGCTTTGCTGAGACCAGGCACTGTCCCCTGGACAACAGTGGCACTTCCTGTTGGGCGCGAGGGCACAGACTACACAGGCTCAGAGAGGCTCCGCTGTTTCCCACCACCTCTCTCCAGTCACCTGTGCACCCTGGTATTCCTTGCGCCTTCCAACTGAGCCAAAGTTTGGGGTTAGGGCCAAAGAGCAGCAGGTTTTTCCTGTAAAATTAAGTAAGTGCCTTGGGGCTGGAGAGAAGGCTCAGTGGTTAAGAGCACTGATTGCTCTTCTAGAAGACCTGGGTTCAGTTCCCAACACCCACATGGTAGCTTACTGTAACTCCAAGATCCAGGACCCTCACACAGATATAGGCTAAAACACCAATAAAATAGATAATTAAAAAAAAAAAGATTAAGTGTCTCTCAGCTGAACGTTAGAGGCCTATAATCCCAGCACTCAAAAGGCCAAGCAAGGAAGGCTGAGAGTTTAAGACCTGAATGCTTATTTTAAAGTGAAAAGAACCTAGGCGGTGGTGGCACAGGCCTCTAATCCCAGCACTCGGGAGGCAGAGGCAGGTGGATCTCTGTGAGTTTGTGGCCAGCCTGCTCTACACAGAGTGAGTTCTAGGACAGCCAGGGCTACACAGAAAAACCCTGTCTTGAAAACCAAAAAAAAAAAAAATAAATAAAAAAAGAGTCCAGCCTGCGATGAGGAGGGGTCGCTAAAGGAAACGGAAGAATGCCTACGGCGGCTGCTGGGCATGAGCTCTGGACTGTCCACACACTTCTCTCAATAGTCAGACAGCAGGTCAGAGCTCAGACATAGGGAGAGTCGGTGTGGCTTCTGAAGGCCTAGGAAAAACCAGCACAGGACAGCTGTCTGTGTGAACATCTTTATCGATCAGAGAGGACTCAGGGCTACAGTGGGTGGGTAGTTTATCGGCCCACTGAACATGGCAGAAGAGCTTGCTCAGTTCCTACCACTGTGGGGGACAGTTACTGCCCCTGGGTAGGCTTGGTGATGTGGGGGAGACGCCGGGGCTCGAGAAATGGAATTCTATAGCCTGCCCAGCCTGCGGAGACATATGATCCCAGAAATGGTTTACCAAGGAGACATATGATTCCAGAAATGGTTTACCAAGGGTCAGCACTTCACACATCTTTCCACACCCACCAGGTGAACAATGGGAAAAGCCAGAATTAGGGCTAGGTGCCACAAAGTCAGCTTGGGAAAACAATTCTGGTTTATCCAAATAAAATATGATACTCCCCAACCCTCTTAGTAGTCACAGTGATGGGGTGAGGGGCCTCTTCGACCACATGACTAAAAATCCAGTGGCCACACAGCCAGAGATCTGGCCACAGTGAGATACTTGGGGCAGGAGTAGACAAGGGGGCTCTGCCACGCAGGAGGAATGAGCATGATTAATCTGCTGGCAAACGAGTCTCCACTACACAGAATCACTCTTTCGTCTAAATGTGTGTCTTCTCAGTCCTGAACATCAAAGTAGTCGATCACTGGCTCCTTAGCTATCTTCTGCAAACTACTGCTCCCAGGATTCCTGCAAAGCAAGCAAAGAGCAGTCAGTCTCTTCCTAAGTTTTCAGAAAGCCCCAGATCAGCTGGGAAGACAGCAGGAACCCACGTATCAGTGTGTGCTGAAGTCGGCCAATAGCCTAGGTGTTCATTACATTATTTTTTTCTGCTCTAAAAAACTTCCATAATAAGGTTTTATATAGAAAACAATCAAGCAAAACAAACAAACAAAAAAATCCTGCAAGGGGGTAGAGAAAGATTCTATAATCTTTACAATACCCCAGCAGGCTAATGGCTCCCCATGGCTGTGTCTGAGTGGAAATGAATACAATTGTGGCTCCATGTTTTCCAAACAACTACCTACCTGTGACCTCAGCACCTGGGAGGTGGAGGCAGGAGGATCAGGAACTCAAAGTTATCCTTGGTTATAGTGGGTTTGAGACCAATCAGGGCTATACAGGACTCTGTCTCAAAAAAAGAAACCTAATCCAAACATCAAAGGACCATTGTCTATCCGGAAGCACAGACCCTGCTGACTCAAATCTAGGCTGCCTGTCCAGCCCATAGGAGCACCAAGATTTGAGTCAGCAGGGTCTGTGCTTCCGGATAGACAGGCTTACCCACCACCCTTACAAGCAAGGCAAAAGCTGTGTCCTGAATTGGTCCCACCACGGACTATCTATCTGGCTATCCCTCCCAAGTCACCCCTGGCCTGGCTTTGTCTTTACTAGGTTGTGTGGTCGCTTTACCCAACCCCATCCCGCACTTTAACTTTCCGCAGTGTTCACGGTTTCCACACAGGAAGCATGTGACTTTTGCTGTGGTGTCGCTGTCTTTGGAGCCCCGAGCCTTCTTGTCTGCACCCCTTCCCCAGATTCACCCTTCTCCTTGGGCACTGCTGCTTACCCCTCCAAACTAAATAAGTCTCAAAGGGAACGTCTCTACTTGCCTCTGTCACTGCCAACTGTTACCCCCACACCACTTCATCTGCAGTCACTGCATCCAGTTCTAAATTACCTGGAGAGGCAGAGAAACCCTCTTACATGCCAACACACACTGCAGAAACTATTCAGTGACTAGTCTATTTATTTCCTGTTATTAGTCTGTGAGCATGTGTGTGGAGGTCAGAGGACATCTCTGCCGAGTTCACTGTCCCCTTCCACCTTTATGTGGGCCTCAGGATCCCAGTCAGGTTGTCAGACTTCTCTTAAGGCTTTGCTGGCTTGAGCAATGTGTTTGAGGCCCCAGTCAAAACCTCTGTGGACATTCACACTCTAAACACAAGCCCAAGGAGGCCAGCGACGGCAGACGGAGCCCCAACAGGTACCCGTCCTAGCTCCTCTGCCCACACCAGTTCTGCTGGGGAGCAGCCGAAGAATCTTACTTGTCTGCCTGGTGTCGGTGATGAGCAATTGGCGGTGGAGGCCGCGTCTGAGTTTCCTTCTCAAGCACACTGGTCAGCGTGGTGGGAGGACAAATGGACTTCCCTCTGAGAGGAGTAAAGTAGAGCGCTGAACAGCGGGGCTCACAAGCAGAAACGGCCTTGACCGGGCGGCACTGCTGCTGGCCAGCACACCCAGACACCACCTGTCTGCATTCAGTCTGTCCCTCCACCCACCCAGCAGGTCCCTGCCAGACCTGCTGCCTACCCCTCCCATGCCACATCCACTTTCTATCACTGTGACGTTCTCTCAGTAGCCCTAGGTTCAGACGGTGAGTCTAGGTCCGTCCTGTCTCACACTGCCACCTCCGTTCCCTCCGACGACAACACTGAGTCAGAGCCTAGCATTCTTTCTGTCTCTATGAAGCCAAGATTAGAGCTGGGAGGTCAGAGGGAGGAACAGCAGACAGAGCGGTGGAGAAGTGAGGAGCAGGCCTTCTGATCACATCTCCTCCACCTGCAGAAACGTCCCCTCTAGCATCTGCAAAGGATCAGGGGCAACCCTGTGGAGTAAGGTGTGGGCTTTGCCCTCTGGCTCGGATCTTCAGGCAATGGTGAAAGACTGTTGTGGAGAAAAGTGCCCCCTTCCACCCCTCCAGGAGGAGGAGGAAGTAACAAAGACTGCAGGAGCTCAACCCACCTGACTGCAGTGACCACGACATTGCGCTTTGGTTCACTGTCGTAGCTCACGCTCTCCAGGCCATAGACTTGGGCCAGGTCATGGATGATGCGGCGGTGGTCTCTGTTCATGGGGGGGAAGCAGTGGCTTTTCTTATTGCTCTTTCCCTGATTGGGAGAAGGAAACACTGATTAGCGCTGTCCCCTGGAAACGGAAACCTCTCATGACTTACCCCTCCCACCACAAGAGCATAGGCAATCAAGGTCACGGAATTTTACTTTAGTTTTTCCCGTTTGAATCTTTATTATTGCTATTTTTTGTGGAGGTCAGATGGTTCTGTCCTTTCACTGTGGGTGCTGGGGATCAAACTTAGGTTGTCAGGTGTGTACGTGTGTCAAGTGCTTTTACCATGAAGTCACCTTGTCAGCCCGCGACTAAATTTTTAGAGGTTCAGATTGCCTACTACTGTGTGTGTGAGCATGGTGGATGCCACACTCCTACAACGGGAAGGCAGATGAGCAGGGCCGAGCAGAGACAGGCGGCGCGGAGGCCGTGCTTCTCCCTGAGCGGCCCATAACCCAGGGGCGGCATTCCCGAGAAACACAGAGAGACACTGAGGACTTAAACAAGAAACCCAAACTCCCCACACAGTTTGTTTCCTCAAGCTGTTAAGTATGCAGATACAGGTGCACAAACACAGAAATACATTTGCTCAGGTTTCCTATACAGAAAGGGAACAAATTAAGTTTCCTCTTCAGGTTAGTATCCTGCTGGAAGGGGAACAGAGAGGAAGGAGGTGGGAGCCCGGTGACAGCAGAGGGAACCGGAGCAGGACTGGCTGCTTCTTGACACATTGCTTTTTTTTTTTCTTTTAGAGACAGGATCTTACTGTGTAGCCCTGGCTATCCTGCTACCTGCTATGTAGATCGGGCTGGCCCTGAACACAGAGATCCACCTGTTTCCTAAGTGGTGGGATAAACGATGCCATCACCACACCGATCACTAAATTACTTTTTCATGCAGAGTACAACTTTGACATCCCTGGTGGGTCGGGGCCACTCTCCTAAGTCCGCCCCCTCCCACCTTCATCTTTAGCCTCCCCACAAGGGTTTCCGGCCCACCTTTGAGAAAACAGAATGTGCTCTCCTATCATAGGCAACCTTTCAGTCACCTGAGGGGCCCTGCATACCTTCTAACCCAAGTATTACTGTTGAGCCTTCTGTTTTGTTTTTTTTGAGACAGGGGTCCCTTGTATAGCCCTGTTCTCCTGGAATTCACTCGGTAGACCAGGCTGGCCTCAAGCTCACAGAAATCCGCTTGCCTCTGCCTCCAGAGTGTTGGTATTAAAGGCGTGTGCCACCGTATCTGGCCAAGGGTTATTTTTAATGTACACTTAACTAAAGCTCTCTTTCCTATAATGGTGAAAGTAACCCAGGTCTCCGTGAATGTTAGAATGGTTGGACATCAGGAATCCACAGCCTTTTCCTACAACCCTCTAGGCTAACCATGCTTCTGGAACTTATTTATTAATATCTTTTTGAACTCAAGCAGGCCTCAGAGAAATGCCCAGCTGGACGAGTCTACTCACCTTATCCACAGCCTCCACAAGCGCTTCCATTTCCTTCTCAACGTCACTGACAAACTTTAAGTCTTTCCTGAAGTAAGAAAGCAGCGGTTAGTTCCAGCTGTTCTCGCTCTTCTGGGAGCATCTCCACTCACCTTCTCCTCCAGGGAGAGCGAGGACAAGGCTGGCGGAAACGTGCAGAGGTGAGGACCTGCCAGGTAACAGAGCTCGGCACACAGCAAAGAAAGGAGCAGGTGGAAAGGAGGAGAAACAGCCACCAGAGAGCCAGAAATGGAACTGCTACTGTCCCAGAGAAGGACCTTGTGACTGTGAGAGAGGGCTGAGAGGTGGCTCAGACACCTTTCTTGGAATCTCTGCGGCCCTTGGAAGGCCTAGACTCCTGCTATGGGGACCAACCCTCAAGCACACTCAAGAGCCACAGCTAGGGAAGTGGATAACCAGTTACATACCTGGCGTCATCTTTCAAACTGTCACTGAACTTGGATGCTGAAGAACGAACATTGAAAGGATCAGAATCGTCACTGATGTCAAAAGCCTCTGCCAATCTCCTGAAAATGACCGAGAAAGAAGCCAATGTAAAGGAAAGAGGAGAGGGAAAATATACAGTATTTCTCCCTTTTTTAATTTACAGGTGATTTGTTTCAAGACTCCTTAGGGACATTTGAATCCAAAACATTCTGATTTGTGGGGGAAGGGGGCTGCCTGTGCACGTGTGTGTATGTGGAGGGCAGAGGTCAACCTTGGGTGTGGCCCTCAGATGCTGTCCACCTTGGTTTTGAGACCTGGGCCACACGTTTGGACGGACAGTGCTTTCTGACTGAGCTGTCTTCCAAACACCCCACTTTTTGTTTTGTTTTATTAATTTATTTATTTTTGAAGCATGGTCTCAGGTAGGCCAGGCTGGCCTCAAAATACCTGCGTAACCAAGGGTGACTGTGAGCCTGCCTACCTGAGACCCACCACACAGGTTCATGGGGTGAGGGATCAAACGAGGGCTCCTTGTATGCTAGGCAAGCATTCTACTAGCTGAGCTTCACCCCTGGGCTCACACCCCTTTGCTTGTTGTTTTCAGTGCATACAAACCTATAATAAAGTTGAATCCACAAGGTTGGTGAAGTAAGAGATGGACATCAGCTTACCATAGACCATAGTAAACTCAGCATATGTTCTTATGTAAGTCAAGAACTTTCACCCCTTTCTATTACAGAAATCATCCCTGATACATGCTGTTTTTTGAGACAGGGTCTCATGTATTCCAGGCTGGCCTCAAACTCATTACGAGCCAAGAACGTAGAATATGAGTTGTCTGGGTGTTCTGCCTGCATGTTTGCCTACGGGACAGAAGAGGGCACCGCATCTCTCTTCTGTCCTGTCTCCGTTCGCCTCCCATGCTAGAGTTACAGGTGTGTGTCATCATGCCAGCTCTTGGGTGTGAGGGCTCTGAACTCAGGGCTTTGTGCTTGTATGGCAAATATTTTATAGACTGAGCTATCCTCCTAGCTCCTTATATTTCTACATGTTTTAGAGCCTCTTCTGTCTGCTGGGATGAGGAAGTTAGCCAGTCACAAAATAACCACACAGCTCGTGTTTCTGAGCACGCTGAAACTGCCTGCGTGGTTTAGTGTCTTAGACAATTCAGCTGTGATGAGCACTCTCCTCAGCTGACAGCAGCGAAGACTTGGCAAAGGTATCGGGTGATGAAGGACTGTCTCCCCCGTTAGCCACACAGGGCTCAAGAGGAAACAAGCTTTGTAACCACTTACTTTCTCCTTTCCAGAGCAGAGCACTCCTCGTCACATTGCAACCTTGATAAACAAAGGAGACAGACAGTCAGGACCCAGGTCCACAGCTCTCAGCCAGGAAGAGCCCAGGTAGACCACATGAGAACACGGCAGCCCTCGCTTACGGCCTGCAGCAGTTAGGAGGCTAGCTAATTTTCGGGCTTCACTAGCACCCCGAGATGGCTAAAGGGGAGATGAGCAGGCCTCACAGTGGCGTCAAGCAGGCCTTCGTGAGCTTCCGATTGGTCCCCACTTTGGATCTTGATTCTGTGGGCTGAACTAGGTAAATTTAGGTCTCTGCTGCTTTCTCTGTCAGCTAACTGAAGTGAGGCCTGAAAACCTACTTTGGTCTTCGCTGTGTCCCAGGCAGGACTCGCTGTGTTGGTCCCAACACCCCAGTCTGTGGACTACCAACTGTGTGTGAGACACTGCCGTCAAGGACCGAGACAGGTGAATTCCTGTAGAAACTGAGGAACTGGAGAAAAAAGGCAACCCTTCCAGAGTTACAAGGCAACCCTTCCAGAGTTACCTGGCTTGCTGGACTTCCTTCTTGGTAATGAACTTGCTGATCTCCACTGAATCTCCCAGCTGCATGTCCATTAATTTAGAGGCCATAGAAATAGCAGCTATTCTGAAATATAAGGAGAAAGAAGAGGCATTGCAGGATCATAAGAGCCCCCAATGCTAGCGACACAGAGCTTCCTCCAAAGGTGATCAACCACAAGGTAGCCCGTGTGACCCTGGAATCTCATCTGTTATTACATGTTTACTGTAGCACTACATGTAAACGACTGACATGTTTACGGTACATGTCCTCAGTTCACGGGAAGGGAAGCGCTAACACAGCTTTCTATCTCCAGAACTTCCAGGCCAATACCCAATACTCTCTCTTCAAACAGCCAATCAGGCCAGACGTGGTGGAGCACGCCTTTAATCCCAACCCTTGGGAGGCAGAGGCTGGTAGAGCCCTGCAAGTTTGAGCTCAGCCTGATCTACACAGTGAGTTCAGGTCAGCCAGGGCTACAAAGTAAAATCTAGTCTCAAAAAAGAAAAACCATCAAACAAAACCAACAAATAGCCAACTAGATATCTATGCAAGTCTGTAGTCAGACATATCTTCACATCTAGTTAGGAGATACACAGCCAACCATTCCTTGACACTTCATCGCTATACACAGATCTCTGTAGCACCACAGAGGCTATAAGGATATCTACCACAACAATCTGAAACCCTAAGCTTGTAATGAGAGACAGAGTACCTTAGCTGCGGCACCAACAACAAAAAAAGGTACAATAGTAAAGCACCTTACCTAACTTCCAGACATCTTCCTTTCTATCATCTCATGGTATAATTAGATGAAAGAGAGGAAAGAGTGGGAAAGGAGAATGCAAAGTATTGCTTTCACAAATTAAAGGCAAGAAAAGGCACTCAAATTTTTATTTTAATTTTTTTTTTTGAGACAGGATTTCTCTCTGTAGTTCTGGCTATCTTAGAACTAGCTCTGTAGACCAGGCTGGCTTCGAACTCACAAAGATCCACCTGCCTCTGCTGGGATTAAAGGCACGAGTCACTACTGCCTGGCAGCGCTTAAATATTTTTTTTAAAAATTTTATCATTGTATATACATGATGTGTGTGTGTGTGTGTGTGTGTGTGTGTGTGTGTGTGTTGGTGGGCACACATGCCATGATGTGGAGCTCAGAGGACAATGGGTGGATTGTTCTCTTTTTCCTCCTTTAAGGCATGTGCCTCCAGGGATGGAACTCAGGTTGCCAGATTTGCATTAGCCCTACCAGCTGGGCCAGCCTAGAAAAAGTACTTTAAAGCTCCTCAGAAACACCAAAATAATCTTTTTTCTAAAGATTTTTTTATTTTATTTAATGTGTGTGTGTGTGTACAGGTGCGCATGTGTGCCATGTGTTTGTGCAGGTGTCTGAAGAGCCCAGAGACAGCATTGGATTTCCTGAAGCTGGAGTCATAGGCAGTTTATGAGCTGCCTGATCAGAAGGCTGGGATCCAGACTTAGGTTCTCTGGAAGTTAACTGCCGTGCCACCTCTCCAGCCCTAGATGTAAAAGTCTACTTTAAAAGCTTTCTAAGGCGCTGGCAAAATGGTTCAACAGGTAAGCAGTGCTTGCAGCCAGGACTGACAATCGCATTTTGATCCCTGGAACCCACACAGCAGAGGGAGAGAACCAGCTCCCCTAAGATGTCCTTTTACGTCCACGTATGCCCTGTGCCATGTGTGTATACACACATGTACATGCACACAGATAATAAGTGCAAAATCTTACAGAGAACAAGAACAGCTCACAAACAACGGCAAACACCACTGAGTGCCTACAGCTGGAGCTCAGTGGCAGAGCATTTACCAACTGAGGATGTGCAGGACCCAGGGTTCGGTCTCCGGCACTGGAGAAGAAATGACTCCCCTTCAACCGGACCCAGCAACTTCGAGGACAGCTGCAGCACTCACCTGTGATAGGTGCCGGATGCTTCCGAGCAGATCACCATTTCTCTTCTTCTCCCACATTCACACTGTAACTCTACCTGAAATATCAGTGAGCGCGGCGTGACTCTTCCCACAAGAGAACGGTGGGGGACTCGGGCAGGCTTCACTGCTAAAGCCCTTCACTAATGACGCCAGACGGCGACCAGCCGGGCCGGCTTCTCTAACTACCACACATGCGGACTGGCGGCATAGCAATGGACGTGCTAGGAGGCACATGTCCTGTCATAGCATCTGCAAAGTACGTCTCTTATTCCCAGCTGAAAGGGCAAACCTAGAACGAAGCTTGTAACACTGAATCTGGGGTACCCACTTGACAAAGGTCCAACCAAGGTCCAGATGACCCCTGCTTTCTTTGGGGTGGCCCTTCCTGACCCCTCAACCAAACCAAATCTCCCACTTACCTTCCATGCAGGTATAATTACTCCTCTATGACACCAGAGTCCTAATCACCCGAGACATCACTTAGCTATTATCTGTCTGTCCTATCTTACTGTAAGGGCCCACCTATCTCTCGTTCGCTGGGTATAGCGCCAGCACTTCACAGTGTCGCGCAGACTGCATGATTTCTCTGGGTGCACAGACAGGGGCCACTGCAGGTCAAGTCTGGACTCACTAGTAGCTGAGTCAACACTTACCTTGGCTTTACAAGCTGTCACAGGGCAGGGTGAACTGGGGTGGCAGGGTGCCATACATGGGTGGCCACAGTTAGCTCTGGGGGTGGTACAGGGCTGCTTGCAGGCCTCGTCCACAAGACATTCTCCTCTGTGACAGAGTCTTTGACATTTGTGCATCCCGCAGGGTAGCATGGCACTACAGGGTAATCCGCAAGAGATGTCAACCAGGTGACAGGGGATGTTGCTTCGTAACTAGGAGAGAGAGAAGCAGCCAGGTTCTCATCTTTGTGTGCGTTCAGGGTGAAGATTTACTCCTAGAATACTTGCTTTTGCTTTTTCTTTGGGGCAGCACTGAGGCTGAATTGGGAGCCTCACGCACGCTCGGCCAACACTGACGCATGAGCTAGGTTTACTCTTCAGAAAATGAGCCGTGGGTTTGTTTTGACATGTTAACTCAGTGTGTGAGCCAGTATCCACGCAGAGGCCAAGGAACATTTGTAGGAGCTGGTTCTCCAGCTCCCAGCATGTGGGTCCCAGGGACTAAACTCAGGTCATCAGACTTGGTTTCAGGTGCCTTTACCTGCTGAACCATGTGGCTGGCCCTGTTTAGGAATTTTTGAGACAGGATCTCCAATAGCCCAGGCTGGCCTCAAATTATACAGTCACAGGTGACCTTGGATTCCTGATTATAGGATTCTATGTATGTGCCATAGTGCCTGGCTCAAAAAAGTCTTTTTTTTTTTTTTTTTGAGGCAGGGTCTTACTATGTAGATGAAGTTGGAGTCAAAGCACAGAGATCCACCTGCCTCTTCTAAATACTCAATTCAAGTTGGGTACCACCACACACAGTCATAAATATTAAAAACAAAAACCTGAAAAGAAATCTCCTTGAACTGAAAACAGATTTTTGTTTGTTTTCGAGACAGAGTTTTCTCTGTATTACAATTCTGGCTGTCCTGGAACTTGCTCTGTAGACCAGGCTGGCCTCAAACTCAGGGATCTACTTGCCTCTGCCTCCAGTGTTGGGATTAAAGGTGTGCACCTCCACCGCCTGGCAACAGTTAAAGATTTTCAAAGTCCAAGTGTTCAAGTGAGTAGGAAAGAAAAACAAAAGGGAACTTTAAGGATAAGGTCGTGGCACTAGCCACCTGTGACCCAACAAACTTCTTAATAAATGGGTAATAAACAGAAAAGACCAGGTAACTAGGGAATCCTTTTGAAATACTGTAACCATGATGGTGGTGCATGTGTACTGTCCTAGCACTCAAGAGGCTGAGGGAGGATGATTGAGTCTCAAGTCAGCCTGAGAGCAAGACCCTGTCGTTATTAACATCCCACCTTTCCCTCCCTCCCCCAGAATCCCTATGGCAGATGAGGATGAGATGATACTGTCACCCAGTCTCGAAAGTCTGAGTGTCAGGACAGAGATCGCCTTGGCACTGCTGCAGAGGGCTACACTGCGGTTAAACAGCCAACTATTCCATCATATCTGCCAGCTGATGTCTCAGAACCAGGTAACCTTGTCATAAAGAATGACAAGCAAGGACTGGTCAGTTGGCTCAGTGGGTAAAAGCACATGCTGCCAAGACCAATGAACTGAATTAAATTCCCAGGACCCATACAGGAGCAAAGAACCAACTCCTGCAGCTGTAACCTGACCTCCATGCAAAACCGCGGTACACAGCTTTCTCCCCATCATCTTCTCTCTCTCTCTCACTCTCACACACACAAATATGATTTTTTTAAAAATGAAGAGGCAACAGGAACTATCAACTCATTTTATTTCTTGAGAACCTACCTGCTTCTAGGCCTCCCATTGCTGGAGAGACAGGCTACAAACTTACTGCCATGAGATCAAAGATTTTTTTTTTTTTTTTTTTTTTAATTAAGACAAGGTCTCTCTGTGTAGCCCTGACTGTCCTGGAACTCTCTCTGGAGACCAGGTTGACCTCAAACTCAGAGATCCGCCTGCCTCTGACGCCTGAGTGCTATTACTGCCTGGTTGAAACAGGGTCTATGTAGTACAGGCTAGCTTTGAACTCTTGATTCTCTTGTTCCACTTCCCCAAGTGCTGGGACTATAGGTATGTGCTGCTATGCTCAGCTTCACGGTTACTTTTATGTATTCACTCAAATTCCTTCAAGAGCTGTTGAAATTTGGAAACAATTTTCATTCCATTAACACATGACTTTTTATTTTGACATGGAGTCTTGCTGTGCAACCCAGGCTAGCCTCGAAGTCTGTCTTCATTCCTTTCATTCAGCCTTTCTAATGGTGAGATCACAAGTGTTTGCTACAACATCTAGCTCCAATAACACCATTTGAAGAGCCCTCCAGATCTAGAACACACATGCTCCCAATTGCTTTGGAATTAGGGCTACATCCTGCGTATGTTCTGTGTTCTTGTCACCCACTCCTCACTTGACTTGCTTGCATCTTACTGTCCTTTCTAGTGTTATTTCATCTTGAATGACTTTGTCAGATCTAAGCCCCGAGGACTCTGCATTCTTCACATTATGGAACTTAACAACTGTCTGCGGACTCACCCCTGAATAGTGGACCCACAAGGGCAGGAGTGTGTCAGTCAATCACCCCATACCTAGTCTAGTACCCGGCACAGAGTAGGTGTTCAGCTATTATTTACTGAATAAAGATAACACACGAGCATTTTACAGCAGAGAAGCTGACAGAGGAAGTAAGATCCAGACTGAATGCATGCCTGTAGGAGATAGAGTCAGGAGGATCAGGAGTCCAAGAGATTTGGCAAGGTGGCAAATTCGACGCCAATTTGAGCTATACAAAATCCTGCCTCAAAGCAACCACAAAAATGATATAAAGAGAAGGAACATGAAGGGCTATGACTTGAACCACTACAGAAAATAAGTACAGAAAAAATATGTCCTTTAAAGATGAAAAAAATATTGAAAACACGTTACAGATATCAAGAGTTATGTTATGAAGTAACAGAGCAGGCCACAAAATGTATCATCTTAGGAGTAGAAGCATGAATCACATATCCCTGGCTATACAACAAAGTGTTAAAGAACAGTTCTTTCAATGGCTAGGGCTACAGCTCAGTCACAGGACTCTTGTCATTTCTGTTGCTGAGATAAAATAGCCTGACAAAAAGAAACATAGAGGAGGAAGGGTTTATTTGTCTTACAATTCCAGGTTACAGTCAGTATCGCATTTAGTCAAGGCAGGAACTCAAGCAGCTAGTCATGTCCACACAGGGAGGAGAGAAATGAATACATGCACATTGCTTGCTTGCTGCTCAGCTTCATCTCTCCATTCACATAGTTTAGGATTTTCTGCCTAAGAAACGGTGCCTCTCACAGTGGGCTGTGTCTTCCCACATTAATTAACTAACAATCAAGGTAATCCCCACAGACACACCCACAGGCTGAATCTGATTAAGTAACTTCTCATTAAGACCCTCTTCCTGGGTGATTCTAGGTTGGGTCAAATTAACAGTTAAACCAGCACAATCCACCCCTTGTCAAGTTAGCACACAAACATATCACTATGAACAATAATTTTACATTTCTTGCCCCCAAATCTCATGGCAATATCTTAATATAAAATATAGTCCAACTCAAAAAAGCCCCCCAGAGTCTTCAAAAATTCCAACACTTCAAAAGTCCAAAGTCTCTTTAAAAGTCCAAAGTTTCTTAAATGTGAGCTCCTGAAAGATAAAAAACAAGTTACACACTTAAACATTCTTATTCCAATAGGGAAGAACTAGGGCATAAAAGCAGCTACACCAAAGCAAAACCCAAATCCTGTAGCTCAAGTCTAACACCGGGGACTCAATCATAATGTAATCTTCCAGACTCCAAGGGGGCTCGGGGAGCCTTACTGCTTCAATTCTGACATCCACAGGGCACACAGCTTCTCTCTTGGCCTGGATCCATCCACATCAGCAGCGATCCTCGAGGGACATTCTGAAGTCCTGGCATCTCCAATACTGTGGGGTCTCCATTGCAACTGAGGCTTCACCTTCACCAAGTGCCTTTCAGGGACTCTTTGTAGGGACTTGGACCCTGACACATGGTGTCTGGCTTCAGCTGCTCTCCACGACCCCTTTGTGCCTTCAAAACCAGTACCATGTGGTAACTCCTACAATGTCAAGTTCTGCAGGCTTGAGATGTAGCCTGGCCCCTGGACAACAGCTAGGTCAGCTTCTCTGTGCTGACCCCAAGGGAATGCTTGTCTCTAGGACGCACAGAAAGTTCTGCCCCACTGCTGCTGATCTCTGATCAATCATGGCTTTTCTTCAGCCCCAGCCTGATCACCACATACAAATTATTAGCCAACAGCTCCTGAAAAGCCCAATTCCTGATAATGTCCTTGCTCCCCCTGAAATCCTAAGGATCAGCTCTCGAAGGGCACACATGCCTTCTAGGATGACCTATTTAGCTCTGTCAACAGGATTCAATGGCTTATGCAGCCCACTTCTAGAATCCTCTATATTCTTCCCCCAAAAGCAACATGGCCAGGTTTACCAGAGCAACAACCTCATCACCAATTCTGGATCTAGTTTCATTTTATGTTGCTATGACAGAACAGCCTGAAAAAGCCCTGGTAGGAAATGGTTTGTTTGGCTTACAATTTCAGGCTACAGTCAGTACTGAAGGGAATTTAATGCAGGAACTCAGCAGATGGTTACAGCACATCCACCATCACAGAAGAGGGGGTGCGGCTTGTTTGCTGCCCAGCCTGATCTCTCCACTATTTCATGGTTCAGGTCCCCATGACTAGGGAACTGTGATTTCCACTGTGG